CCCCCCGCGCTTCCCAACTCCCATCCACATAATGCTTTGGCGTCAATGACAAGTCTCCTCCATCAATTCCGCGTCTCCATCAACTTTACAAGTCTACTACATCTCCGGTCTCAAGCCTCACACCCACCTCGAGTCCTACTAGTCCTTCACTCTTACCTCGATCACTGCACGTGTTTGCCTAACCCATCGGTCGACGTGATGCATGTTGATCCAGAACGCATCCCTCCTTTCGAACCAGATAAACAAGTAAACAACCCATGTTCCCAACTCTTTCCAGTCACCTGTCATTCTTCCTGCAGCCGAAGACCAACATACTGTCGCTCCAGTCGCCAACGTTAACCTTGTTTAGTTATACTTCGGCGGCTTAAATTGGCAGTGTCTGTTCTCGTTTAACATATCTTTTAGTTCAGCCCTAACAATCACCTCTCTTTAGACAATAAGAATATAAGGACTCATATGGACTCATGTGAACTCATGTGAAAAGAGTCGGTCAACGCTCTGCGGAACGTCGTGGGTTTTCCCCGGGTGCTCTTGTTTCCTCCCACAAGGAAAGTTGACAGGGTTGGTTAGGATAAACACAGTTGTAATATCACAATTGTTGTAAAAGATAAAATTAGTGTACACTGCAAAAAACGCCTAGCCTGTAACAATGCTATTGAAAACAGACCTGAACAATATTTTGCTGCCCATATTGTTCCTGGTTGTTAACAATATTGTTCAGCTGCCATTGTTCAGGCTGAACAATGCTGAACAATATCGTTAACAACCAAGAACAATATGGGCAGCAAAATATTGCTCGGGCCGTTTTCATCAACATTGCTACAGGCTAGGCGTTTTTTGCTAGACTAAGTATGTAATTTGGTGAGCGTAATATACTTAATGTAAAGCGCATTTGATCATATTCACATGTCAAATCGCGCTACATAAATGTTAATCTCAAGGAGTAGTCACGCCATACTGTAGTTTGTTATTGCTATTACCACAATGCGCCTGCGGTCCTTTCGTGCCTAGTCGCATGGGGTTTCTTTCATATTTTTTCTCTGAAAAAGGTTTGGCCTTAATAAATTGTCGTTTAGTCGCATATTGTGTGAGTTGTCTCTTGGCAACTTGCAATCTATGCATGTTGCAAACAACCTCCTTTATTCTCAGATTTTGCGATTTCCAAAATGGCAAAATCGCGTAGGGCGTGCGAAGGTAAGAGCCTGGGTACGAGGTTGAATCGCATAATATACTTCAACGTGATATGCAAATTAGTAAGGAACTAAAACAAATCATGTCCGTGATTTCTAGCCATGTAAAATGGTCATCATGGCTTGGACCAATGAAACGTCATCATTCCTAGTCCAAACATAGTGGAAACCAAGATAATTTAAAAATGTTCATTTTTGGAGTTACCTCTCTTTTGTATTTTCTTAAATTGTTCATTAAGTTTGGTAACCAATAATATGTTCTTCGTTAGTAAACAAGATTTGGCTGGTTCAGACCGAGAGGATGCTGGCAATAATGTAACCACTAGAAAGATTTTAAGAAAAAAGTATGTGTGTAGAAACAAGTCAGTATGAAATATTTGTATGTACTGTATAGTGGGGCTGGTTGTATGAAAAAGACTCCAAATGAAATCACACTTGCACACATCTAGGAAAGAATCTACATTTTACCTGGCGATGTGAATTTTGATTGAACACACCCTTTTGGAAAGTACGTCACTTCGGCTATAGAGCCTTGTTTTCGTGTATTAGTTAAAAGCCCAACCTCTCACGAAAACGAGGCTCTGTAGCCAAGGTGGCGTACTTTCCGGATGCGTGTAATACTGTTGACAAAGTATATTAATTTCTCATTCGGAATACATCGGCTTTTGGGCTTTACCGCTACAGTATACCCGAAATGACTGTACGTATGTTAGATGTATAGACTCGTTCGCTTTTTATCAGTTTACCGATCGTCTATCTGTCTATCACTTTACCGTCACTAACATTTTCTGTTTTCTCAACGATTCCTGAAGGAAAAATCTGAGAGGATTGTTTGTAAGGAAAGTTAAGAACAAAGATCAGAAGATAAAAGGAACAAAAGAAGGTACAATGATTTTAACTTTCTTTCTTGCTTGTATATGATTGTATAATATACAGTGTGCTGTACGTATGAACAGTGGCGAAGTCAGCCCGACAATTTGGTCATGCTATGCAAATATTTCCGTGTTCATACACCGTGAAAACAATCAATTTCTAAAGAATTGAATATTGATTATAGTGATTTACAATTTGCATAGCATGACCAAATTGTCGGGCTGACTCAGTGAACTCTAAGGGAACTGGGACGATAACTTGGCCGCCATCTTTGAAGCCACTCATGAAGACCGCCATGTACGTATGGAGTGGAAAATACGCCACCGAAAAGATGTCTGTTTTTGACCACTAAATAGCTGTATTTCAAACGCTAAAAACTTTCAACAATACCTGAAATTTAATAGAAAACATGTTTCCAGAACGTAGACCAGTTTTAAAGTTATTTTTTCAAGAGTCAAAGTGCGAAGTTTTTTTCGGCACGTTCAAACTTGCGTAATATTTTGAATATCAAGCTGTTACCCAGGACGTTTTTGCTGTTAGTGGATGTAAAATACTTAGAACTATCCAGGAAACCAGGTTTGAATCTTTAAAGTTGAAGACTTTCGATAAAAAAGTACTTTTTCTTGCTGATTTTCGCTCAAAACAAACTTTTGACTGAATTTCCCGCTCCTCGAAACTCTCCCCAGTCCTTGGAAAGTTAATTTTTTGCTCGCCGGGCCTCGTGAGAAGCGCCATCTTGGCTTCAGGCACAGAATAGGAAGTTATACCAGAAGCGTAACTCGAGCAAGTATTTGTCCGCGTTTTTACAAGCGATTCGTCATCAATCACGCCATCCTGGCTAGTACAACCGGCACTTTGTACCTATCAAATCCTGATAAAAACTTCCGGCTGTACTAGCCAGGATGGCGTGGCCTGACGTGAGCGAGTTAAAATTTTCGTGGATAAGGGAAACGACTAGAGTTACGCTTCTGGTATAACTTCCTATTCTGTGCTTCAGGCAAGTATGGGCATGTTTACCTGCAGTTAGCGTGTTGTTATTACAGTTCACTGGGCTAACGTCACCACTGCGTATGAAAAACACTGGCAGGGTAAAACGTAAACTATGCTCGCAATTTTTCCTGCGATTAATTTTACATAAAATGATAATGCATGTGTACGAAATACTGCCTATGTAGTGTAAAGAAGAGTGTTATGATTTTCATTTATTGGTTTGGCAAGACGTTATGTTTGAAAAATCACCTTAACATGAGCTTTGTTGTGTTTGATTGAGGTAATAAATAAAAGGGATGCACGAGAGGGAAGTTTCCAAAACTAGTTCAAAATCTCAGAGTTTACTTGAGTTTAGGGTTAGGATTGGGGTAAAGGTAATTGTTGTTGATTCTTTCTCGTTTTAACGATCTTAAAAAATAGCCGCCATCTTCAAAACCTCCCTCTCGTCCATGCAGTTTAGCAACGACCGTTTTGATTAATAGGGAAGCGCGCGGAAGAGAGCTCATCGAGTGACGAGGAAAACCCACAGTCAGAAAACTACATAAAAGTAAGTAACAAAATTAACAAATAGATCACTTATTGTCATTCCGTGTCTTATAACAACAGGAACATTGGTGGAAATACATGTGTTAAAACTCGTCTGTTTTAATTGTTTATGGAAAGTACTGTATGATCGTTTCATCGTCACGCATGTTCTACAGGGTGTCCCCCAAAAAAGTACCCTCTATAGAAATTATCCTCTATAGAAATTATCCTATTGCTGTTAAGCACAGGATTTCATGCGCCTGGTAATTAAAAATTCAATTCAATTGTGCTTACACACTCTTGTGTTCAGCATAGTGCTCAGGCATTCAAATTATAACAATAGGATAATTTCTATGGAGGGTACTTTTTTGGGACACCCTGTATATGTTCGCGGCAAATCAACCAACAGCAATGTTTTCAATATTTTGTAATGTCCAAAATGAGTAATTTAAACCAAAACATTGGTATTCATTTAGCGAAAATATAATACGCGCACGACGATGAACTGACCATGTGTTTTTTAAGCCACTTACAGAATGAGTTCTATTGCAGTATTTCCATAAAATTTTTTGTAATAAAATTGATATTCTTTACTTAGTCTATTGAATATTACATATAGGTACCTATATATATTACTGATTTTTTGAAAGTTTAATATGCATTCCCCTTCCTTTTACTCTCTAGGTAAAATCAGCGAATGGCAAGGGTATTCCTATCATTAATAAACTAAATATAATTCAAGACTTCAGTGGGAAACACCAGGTTTGTGTTGCAGTTGTTGTATTGAACTATTAAATAAACAAGAAAACGTGGTTTTAGCCTGTCCGCAGTCCCATATTTTGAAAAAGAAAGTGTGGGTCTAATGGTTTCCATTCTCTTATTAGGGAGCTGTTTGGACGATGAAATTTACTTCCTGCGGTAAATTACTGGTATGTAACGCGTGGCACTCAGTATTAACTTTTCCAAATTGTTTCTTAATAATGTGGATCGTATTTACTGTATCCTTCTTCCACATTGATTCTTGAGGGTGAGGTTCCGGGTTATTGGACTACTGTTTGTCATTGCATATGATTTTTGTGTTAATGTGGTGCAATTTAACTGTGAAAACTTGTTGTACACACAAGTTAATTTTTTTATTTATTAAATTTTATGAACAGAGCACTGCTGGTCAAGACAAAGTCGTGGTAAGTTGCACGTATGTTAAGACATAAATATAACCAAAACGTACTGTGCATGCATGTTCTGATTTTTTGTGTGTAATTTTTTAGCACGTGTGGGTACTGAAAACTGAAAAGGACTTTTTCGAACAAATGCGAAACAAATACGCTAAAGCAGGTTTGTTTTACAACAGAAAAAAATAATTGAAACTCTAACTCTATGTATATTTCCCCCTCACGAGATCAAGTACGAATAAACACATATTGGGTTCTGTTGGAGTCAAAGCAGTTCACGCACAGGATTGACGAAGGCAATGATTTATAGGACTTACCGGCAGTTGCCGCTTGCATGCAAATTAGCCTGAATCTGCTCTTGAATGTACCCCCGAAATGTTTGTACAGTACTGTAGTTTCAAACATTTGATGTGATAGCTGCAGTTTTGTAAAGTACATATGTGGGCAGTGAACAATCGTACAATTACATCAAAGAAAGTAAATGGGGACTTTGGTCATAGATTAAGTAAGAACAGATGTGTAACTTCAGTAAAAAAGTTGTCCCACGGTCGCCATCTTCCTAGCAAGTGTCACTCGCGTGACAATTCGTCATTTGGTAATACGTCATTGCTTTCAAAATGCTTTCAACACCTTTTCCACAACTTTAATTGTTTTTAATAATTTTCAACATTGAACAAATGATGCTCTTGATTGTTTAATCCATAAATTTCGATCCAAAAAAGCCGCAATAAAATGCAAAAGTTCATGTTTTCCAGGACGCCATCTTCCTAGCAAGTGTCATGGCGTGAGCATGACGTGTACATCTAGGGAAATTTGAGGACACGAATTCCTATTAAGTTACACATCTGGTATATACTTCATCTGTGCTTCGGTGGCGCAGGCTTTAGAGCAAGCGCCTTTCACCTCTGAGAATGTGGGTTTGATTCTCGCTATGGACTCATGTGAAAAGAGTCAGTCAGCGCTCTGCCGAAAGTCGTGGGTTTTCTCTGGGTGCCCCGGTTTCCTCCCACTGGGAAAGTTGATTGGGTTGGGATAAACACAGTTAAGAAAGTAAGTAAAGTAAGTAAAGGTAAATTGTACTTGATGTAAAACACATTTGATCATGATTTTTTCTGTGTTGGTGTATTATATTTCTGTGCTGGTGTATTATACTATTATAGGTGAATATATGATGCTTGTGATGTTACTCTGAGTGCATATCCACACCGGAGGGTCCTGAAGGGGTAAAATGGGAACTGGGATTTGCTTATTTTTTGGTGGGAAAATGGGATTTCATGCACTGGGACTGGGATTCATCAGCAAACAAACAATAGAAAATGGGAATGGGATTAAGATTTGAGCACGACAGCCACAGAGATGATGGGATTTGTGCTCTGGAATAATGGGATTTAGTCAAAATTTGGGCTGGAAAATGGGAATACGACCCCCCCCCCCTTCAGGACCCTCACACCGGGCAAGCTTGAAAAATATGCCTGGCCACAATGGGAATCGATTCCCACCGTGGCCAGGCATATTTTTCAAGCTTGCCCGGTGTGGATATGCACTCAGAGTAACATCACAAGCATCATATTTAGTCATATCCACATGCATGTAAATTTGCGCAATAGAAATATTAATCGTAATCGTAATCGTAAGTAAATATACCCGCACGCCCTAACTTAGACAAGCATGTTTCAATTTTAGGATATTCTATATCAATAGTAATTTTTTACAAACACTGTACTGATTTTGTAGATTCCGAACGACCAGCTACTCCGGACTCTGAGAAAACTGCCAGTGAAGAAAACGAGGTCAGTTTACAAAGTTGATCTTCAATTGGCAGGTTTTAGAATATGTCAGCTCCGTGTTGCTGCTTGTTCTTAACCCCGGAGGAAATATGTTATCAGTGTGTAACTGCAGTGGTTGATTTGTTTTACTGGGTTTATGCTGGGATGTTTTTCACCAAAACAAACAATTGTATTTATATATCCATGCAAACTCACGTGTTCTTGTTTCAGAAGGAAACAAAAGATAAAGATGGTGTAACGGAGACAGACTATCCTGAAGGATTTTGTAAAGAACCATTTTGTACATATGAAGGTCACACTGGTGATGTTCTGGATCTGTCCTGGTCAAAGGTACTGTATTTCTACATCTGTACCATTTTAATGACTTCCTTTTCAACGAAATTTCAAAGTTTAGTACAAATAAACAATTTTAAAAGTCAACTACTACTGTATTTGGCTTGCACAACTACAGCAAACAACAAATAACAACAAATTTGCGTGATGTGCACATAAACAAACCTGTTGCATGTACTGGTATTTTGATTACAAGATTCATTTCTGTTATCTAGAATTACTTTCTTTTATCGTCATCAATGGATAAAACCGTTAGGTAAGTGAAATCTTCAAGACTTTAAAGACTTACAGCAACGCGAAAGTGCTACGTGAGAGATGTTACATAAGTCGCCTTTAGTGATCTTGTATAGTGGGAAACTCCGCAACGCTTTAAAGGCGGGCAAGTGCTAAACAGAACAAGTTCAATTTCACACTATTTGGCAAAAATATTACATTGGAAGAGATACTCATGCATAATGTATATTCGGTATAAAGACATTAAAAAGTTTTAAATTATGATATTGAAATTGTACACGGTGACCAAAGTAGCATAAGCTTTCGAGTTGGCCAACAATATTGCTTTAACAATATTGCTTTAAAACATTGGAGCTTTCATGCTAACTTTATTATTACTTTTTGAACAATATTGCTTTAAAACATTGGAGCTTTCATGCTAACTTTATTATTACTTTTTGTCTGTAGATTATGGCATATATCTCGAACTGAATGTTTGTGCTGTTTTCAACATATCGATTTCGTCACAGCAATCACTTTTCATCCACGAGTAAGTTGTTAGACTCAGTTACGCCTGCTTCCATAAAGACCATTTTCTAATCCCAGCGCATGTCAACAGAATTGTGTGAAATTCTTAAACGTGAGTTTATTTTAACCATGGAAGACACTGCATGGTACTATGCTGGACGCCATTCAAAACTTGTCCAACGTCTTTCAGTTAGCTCATGCTTCATACTGGATATATTCAGTGGCGAAGCCAGCCCGAAAATTTGGTCATGCTATGCAAATTTTAAATCATCGATATTCATTTCTTTAGAAATCGATTGTTTTCACGGTCAATTAACACGGAAATATTTGCATAGCATGACCAAATTGTCGGGCTGGCTTCGCTACTGGATATATTTATGGAAGAGTTTTCGGTTTTTCTTCAAAACTCAAAGCAAGAGAAAGCTTTAATACTTCATATCATTGCAGATTGTACTTCTATATGTATTAGGATGACCGTTATTTTCTGAGTGGATCTTTGGATGGGAAGCTACGACTGTGGAATATTCCTGATAAGAAAGTTGCTCTCTGGAATGAACTGGAAGGAGCAGGTTTGTTTCTATAGCTTTGGTAAATTTTACACCCAGAAACCCTCATCAGCATCACTTATCCACATTTCTATTATTTTTATTCCAACATGCATTTTCCGAAAATGCCTGGGAACGAGGATCTTACTATATATACCGTACAGTACTTCATTAAAAAAATCATCAACGGCTAATTTGCGCAGTATTTGAGCGTGCAGTTAGTGGTTTTACATGTATGGACAATACAACTGAGATGGAGGGTCAACCTCAGACTTGTTGATACTTCTAGGAGCTAGAAAATTAAACTCTGGTTTCCAGAGCATTTTCCTTTCCTTGCATTTTCAGAAAAGACTCCTTATTAATTTTTCCATATGTTTGCTTTATCAGGGAGTCATTTAATCACAGCTGCAAACTTCTGTATGAACGGAAAATTTGCTGTCATTGGAACATATGATGGACGATGTATATTTTATGAGACTGAGGTGAGTTTGTAGGTTTGATTGGTGAATATAACAATACGTGTGTTTGGAAAATTTGTTTTTTAATATTATATTCAAATATTATTTGCACTGATGAAAATCTTGGCTGGCGGATCGAGCGCTTTCCCAAATTGAAAATCAGCGGTGTTTTTACAACGCTAATTATTATGGATTTTCTTACCAGTTAAATAAATAATGGTGTCGTTTAGCAGTTTACAATGTTTATGTAAATAATTATTTTCTGGTGCCACTTATGAAGGTTAATTTCAAATGTATTGACATTTCTGCATGAGGACGAGTATAAATAATGCTAAATGTTTCGATTACATGTATAATGTATTACTACCAAACACAGAGTCAATACATATATATATAGTCAAGGCTGGAAAAAAGTTTATTTTTCTGGGACCACCATTTTTCAGTGAACGTATATTGATAGAGAATCAAATTGAATGTTTAGCATCTCAAGTATTACACACAGTGGCAAATTCGATCAACAAGGAAAAAGCAAGGACGAAAGATAAGCGGGATTGAGCCGATGCCGGGAGAAGATAAGGTTGGTCGTTGATTATTTGTAAGATTCTATGTACTACTTATCTGTAATCTTGGTTTTCAAGCGTGGTTTTTTCATTCACTCGTAACGTTATATATTTCAGATTCTAATCACGTCAAATGACTCTCGAATACGTCTGTATAGTTTGAAAGATCATTCCTTACATTGCAAGTTTAAAGGTTTTACAAATTCTAGCAGTCAAATCAAGGGAAGTTTCAGGTTAGTGTAGCTGTTTGTCGTCACTCACTAAATTGTTTGGAAATTAAGCATAAAACAGTTCTGCGCGAGTTACATAGTTATCCTCGTTAAAGATGAGCCAAAATGTAAAAGTCATTTATACGGCAATCGTAAAACTTGCAGTAATTAAGTTCTTTTACACTACTTGCTTAATTAAAATTATTCACAACTTTGCACGTCTAGTTTAGTTAGGAACGTTAATTAAATTCTTACCGAAAAAATTAGACTGCAAGTACGCAATACTGATGTCAATATACACACTTGATGTATGCTCCCGAGAACAAAACATCACCAACACCGCGGGCAAACGTTATTTACTGTTTATATTCAAAAGACTGGAAATAATGTTGTTTCACGAAGCTCTAGCAAAAGATTTAAAGTGCCTGTATCACTTGTGGGACCTTTATTGATTTAAAAAGAGCGTAAAAAGTTAGTTAGGAGGGGGGAGGCGATAGAAAGGGAGCGAGGAAAAAAACAATAGTCATTGAAATGAATATAACTGGAATGCTACCTCCAACCGGAAACTTGAAGGTCAGTCCCAGTCTTCACACATGCGAAGAGCGCTCTTAATCAGTCAATCATGACATAAACACGTGGGTTTGACCCTCAGACACGCGTGTCTGGGGGGGGGGGTGTCAAATTTTGGCTTAAAAAATAGGCAGTTTATCTGAAGGTAGCGTTCCAGTTATATTCATTTCAATGATTAAACAGCGCTTTTCTTTTCCCGTATTTACTGCTATTATTTTGGCTGACATTTTCCCCGCCATTTCCGTGTACATGTAAAATAACCTGTTAAAGGGTTTCCAAAGCATTTCCAGTCGCTCGTTGTGTATTTTTCTTCTCTATAACGTACTGTCAGTATTTCTGTGATAGACTGGGAAAACGTTCTTTCTAAATTTCCAGCTCCATTTGTGTACATAGCAACGTAGCCGGCAGAAGCGGCCAACATTGTTCACCTGTTGCACGGTGGGATAAATGCATTGCATTTTTCTACCTGACCACAAATCAGCCAATCACGCATTGCGTTAAAATATATATTAACAACATAAATTAGTGAATGCCATAATGTATCTGAACTCTCATTTCTTAGTCATGATGGCGAGTTAGTGATATCAGGTTCTGAAGATCATTATGTTTACATGTGGAGAGCTCAACACCGCATTGCGTCAACTAGGAAAGATAAAAATGATTTCTATGAAAGTTTTTCAGGTAAGATGTCATCGAATGACTATTTATAGACTAATCTAGAAAACACGACGCAAACTGAAAGACGCGCCTTCGAAACAAAAAAATTCTTCATGCAAAACAAAAAGTTTGAAAAGTTTGTGGCCCCAGGGGTATCTTCAACAACGTTGTCATTCTCTATACAACGTTAAACGTGAATGCTTGTTGCGACGCTGGAGGAGTTACATAAAATCTGTCTCATAGCAGATGCCGGATCGTTTTTCCCCAACTTAGCCATTTGTAAGGTTATTTTAAAAAGCTTCAATTTAATACAGTAATCAAGTTCCTTAGCTCTCAATTTTTGAGCTGAAAAGGATGATTTCAGCTATCGACTAATTTTTTTATCTAGGCAAGAAAGACGAAATAGCTCAAAAGAGCATCCTAAAATTAGTACAAAGTTTGGTTGCAAAGTTTGGTTGCGAAATGTTGTAAAGTACGAAAAATATAGTCCTGCATGTGAAATTATCAAATTTTGAATATTTTAGTATTACGCGCGGAAAAATGCACCAAAATTTGCTAATTTCACAGGGCTAATTTTCCGTATTTTACAACATCTTGCAACCAAATTTGGCAATTTTACTAATTTTCGTATAAGCTATAATGATAGATTTCGTCTTTCTTGTCTGGATCAAAATTTAGTCTATAGCTGCGTCCTCGTGTTTGCCTCGTCGTCTAAATCTGCCCAAGATAAAAACATTGTTCATGGTTTTGTGATTGTTTGTGTCAATGTCAAGTCAATCACATTTAATCAGTCTGGTCCAGTTCACAATGACAATGTTAATACCTGCATGTTTGCCTTTCAATAGAAACGATGGTAATTGTCATCATTTCAGAAATACATAAACTTTACCCCCCGTTCTACACTAGCAAACGTGAATCAAGCACTGCAATTATACTGTTGATTTATACAGTTTTTGAATGTTTCTTGATCGAGAGTTATTGGTAAGGTATTGCTCCTAGTCTTTCATAAATGTTTATCCCAATAATATTAAATTACTCCTTGAAACAATCATTGCCAACTTGTCAATTACCACAAAAATTCATGAAACAAGCAATCTATGATTAATTAGAATGTAACCTATTAGAGCTGATTGACTGACTGAGAACCACATATCTTCCTTACTGGAATGGCTTGTGGAAATATATGTGGTGGTCGGCCCGCCCTCGTTGTCGGGGCTTCATGTGGCTTCAACGTAGGCAGCCAAGAAGCCCTGGGAACGAGTATGTGGTCGGCCTTGAATTTCACTGAAAAACTCGTTTTCTATCCTGTATTTAAACAAGATTCCAATATACCTGAAAGATATTTTTAAGAACGCATTATTTTACGTTCCAGCTCACAATGCTGTCGTGACTGCCGCCATCTTTGCTCCCTGTCCATGGAATGTCGTTCCAACCGAGTATGACGACAACAGTACTGGGGGAACTGGACCCGAAGTTATTGTCGCTGCTGATTGGACAGGCAGCATTAAAATATTCATAAACAGATACTCGAATGAAAAAACATAAAACGGCTACTTTAGATAACTAATATCTGAATAAAGTCAACTTGCATATGGTTTGGGAAGTCGGCAAACTTCATCGTGCATAAAACGTTTGAAGTCTTGCTTATTAAGGAGGTTCAGATTTGACTACCGCTGCCATTGATGGACTATTAACCAATCAGATGCGTTTAATATATAGAGAATAATACATGGGTGCGCGGAAATACCAGATTTATTTCGAGTGTTGAACATGATATCATGTTCAACACGAGAAATAAATCTGATATTTCCAAGCACCCATGTATTTTTCTGTTTATTATATAAACAAAATTCAGTGAAAAACAATAAAACGTCCGTGGCAATGCGTTTTACAACAAATGATATTTTCACACGTAAAAATATCGTATTTTTTACGTGTGTTCAAATACGATTTTTCTCAGTGGCCAAAAACTCTATATAACACTTATGTTTATATAATAAATCGGATTAACCAATCAGATGCGTTTGATATATTGGATGAACCAGTCAGATGCGTACTAAGTCAGTGAGAGGTAGTGGAAGTCAAATCTGAGCCTCTCTAATATTTCAACAGCACAGTTGAGGGAAAGGACCGTGCCCAAGTTTGCATTAAAAAAGATAGAAGGGCCAATTTTCCAGACCATATCAGTGACCATGTTCTAAACGTTCGTATTTTGATTCATTTCATGAACCGAAGAATTTCTTGGGAGGAATTTCTTTGCAAGAAATTTTCCAACGGCTATTCAACGTTGATGAATGAGAAAGGAACCAGATAACGCATCGTATGCAGGCTGGTTCGGTTTGCTTTGCCGACATGTTTTAGTTAGACCATGGATTGTAAAATAACATTATTTACAAAATACATGGGCAAAAAATATGTATTTAATAATTCTATTACAAAATAAATAGACATCACCTTCGTTGTGAGCGTTTTCCTCTCAAGAAACATGCGGTTGCGCCAGAATATTTGCGAAATTCCTTGGGGCGGATATATGTGATCATTATAGGTTGTCCAAATAGATCACATATTGTACTAAAACGTCACTGCATAATCTAGCTAATCCAAATATATTCCTTGAAAACTTAATTATCACCTGGGGCCGGTTGTTCAAAAGCCGATTAGCTCAACCCTAGGTTAACCTAAAATCCAAAGCAAACGTCCCAACAGCTTCGTTATAAACTTGGAAATATTCCTTCAGAAATCTTGTCTGGACCAATAAGAGTTTTCTTCTGTGAAGTTTTAAAACAGATGGATGTGCAGAAAATACATAAACTAAAACAGTAGGTTAAATTTTAACCCAGGATTAGCGCTAAACCAGTTCTGAACAACCGGCCCTGGAACTGTAGTGTTCCAAACGCTAGGAGCTCTCACATAAAAAAAAACTATTCTAATTAAGATTTTGAAACTTTGTATAAATATACCCGAAAAGCATGGACCCACAATAAAAAGTGAACAAAATCACTATCCGTTCAACCGACCCTGATCAATAAAGGGTCAGCAAAGAGCTCAAGAATCCGTGCGGTAAGAACAAAAGTAGGGTCCAGGTCAGGTCAGCATATTCTCCAACGTCTAGAATTCCTGCAACTCACGATTGTATTGAAACTTTCTCAGGGAAACGCGAAAATTTACCGCTGTGAGTATTTATCCGAATACAATGAAAGAGAGCAAGCAAGCGTTTCAGCTTAGATCAGTTAAAGGACACTAGGTTAAAGGACCCTCCCCAATAATTTCTGAAAACATTTGAAGGATAGCTGAATAACTGTGTTAGGGGCTGTTTATATGGTCCAGGCCTAGAAAATATATTTATCTTCCTGGCAGCAAAATTCAAAAATTAAAATTTCCTGTATAAGTGAACTATAAAACGTCGTTCCTATGTAGATTTCAGAGAACGTGTGGACTATGATGGCGCACACCTTGACTTGCAAAATGCTTAATTTGGAATTTTTAAACAATAAGTAAATTATATGGCGTGAAAAAATATTTCCTGCAAGG